TCACGGTGTGTGTGTTCACTGCTGTGTGTGTGCACTTTGGATGGGTTAAATGCAGAGCACTAATTCCGAGTATGGGTCACCATACTTGGCCACATGTCATGTCACTCACTCACTCATTATCCCTCTCAGTCATAGTGAGGCAGCCCAGACCCCACACAAACAGCTCGCCACGAGTTTGTGGGAAAACACAAGGATGCGACGTTCCACAGATACAAAGGGCGGATAAAGAACATGAGGGAAAAGTGGGACTCCAGGGTTTAAATGCAGGATAGAGATATGGTTGCAGGAAGTGATACAGTCGGCTCCCTATGAAGTACAGTCCGCATAAACCCCCTCCTCTCCCTGCTCCTTGAGCTCTTCCTGTCTCTCTATCTCCCTGCACCTCTGAACACAGTCAGCTGAACACAAGAAGTCTCATTGTTGCGCCTCAGCTGCCTGAGAGCCCTGCAGTCCTAAACATCTCTTAACTGTTTCTGTTTGTGGCCTATTTAGAAAACTAAATCGGTGTTGCATTCACCGATCACATGCAGCACACAACACCTCTACACTCTCCATGCAACACTCCTCATAGTTTTTCTTTAAAGACATGGCATATCCAGAAATGACTCTATTTGAATTGCCAAGATAAAGCTATCTGAAAAGGAAGATTATCCATGAGGGAAAAAACAACGGCCGAAAGCAACCTTGTTGACAGTCCCTACTCCAGGAAGTACACGTTTATAAGACACCACTTTGAAATCATATCTTTGTTTGAGAAAGCAAATGCTTTTCTATGAAGTATTGTATTGTAAAGAACTGAATGACAAAAGGCTCTCAGAGCAACACCCACACAGAAACTCACAACACTCCCTATCCTCACTCAAGCGTCTGCATCGTTTGTGCTATGGGTGAATTGACACAAGCTTCGAGTTTGCACTTTTTGTCACTCCTAAGGGATCATCTAAAACATGTAACTCTACGATCAGACTTTTTTTTACTGCTCACTCACTGGTCTCATTCGCTTACAAATTTTTCTGCAAACATATTTTAAAATGTTATTTATTTTATAGTCACACGATCCTTCAGAAATCATTCTAATATGCTGATTTGGTGCTCAAGCAGTTAAAACTGAGGTAAAAAAAAAGGCAATATGCTACTTTTATTCAGCAAGGACATATTAAATTGATCTAAAATGACAGTAAAAACGTTCATAATATTACAGATTATTTTCAAATAAATGCTGTTTATTGAACTTGTATTTTTTTAATTACTACAGTTTCCACAAAAATAAGCAAGAAAAACTGTTTTCAACATTTAGAACATGAAGAAGAAGGAAAGAGGAATAAGAATAAGGAGGAGGAGGAGAAGTAGACTGATGCTCTGGCTGCTGAAAATTCAGCTTTGCCATCACAGAAATAAATTACATTTAATAATTAAAAAAAAAAAAATTTGAACTGGTTTTGAGGATGATACACTTGGGATTGCTTGAGGATCTTGCTGCACAAGCTCTCTCATGCAGGCAGGAGTGTCATATGTTTGCTCAGTGATGAAAGGCTGTAAAAGAAAGGTTGTGTGGAAAACCTTTATATGAAGAAAGCTTGGGCGTGTTTATGCAAACTACTAACCTCAGGCACGTGGACGCTCATTTAGAAAACTCAAATTCATTAATGTTAGAGAAAGGTTAAGAACAAGGACAACCCCTAAGCTATCATGTGCTTATAAAAATGTATAGGCCTAGTCCATGAATTTTGAATGAGACCCTGTTTTTATAACATTCATATTCTTAATTGTGAATCTCGAATGCAAGTTGTAGGCACAATATATTCTTAATGAATTAATCAAAGTAGATCCGAAACAACGTGTTTATGGACTTTAAGTGCTAGATGAAGGGTCAGCTTTATAATCACAACCTTTAAAGCTGATATACTGTAGTAAGATAATGCATGCATACTATACTTTTCTATAAGGTTTAGGAACTGCATTTGAGGCTTTGTCCCCACAGTTGTCTCACCACACACCCAAATCAGTGGGTCATACAGCTTTAACACATAATCCCCCAAACATCCATCTACCACTGTGGCATGTGCAGTCCTATATACTGTCATTCAACATCAACTGGTAGAATTACTGAGATAAACTGCTTCTTTCAAAAAGTTTGGGTCAGCTGTAGGTTTAAAAACGTCTATATTTCCATATAAGCCCAGCCCAGAGATGAGGACAGTGATGCAGAAGCTCTTTCAAGAAGTGCACTGTTAGATGAATAAACTGAATTGAATTGTTCAAAGAGTACCAGTACACCCTCAGGAAAAAGCTACCTTTTCAAAAGGTACACCTTAGTACTAAAAGGGTGCATAATAGGGGTGGGCGATATGACCAAAATCTTATATCACAATAATGATATATACATCACGATATAGTTATTTTTTTCTTTCAAAAAGGTTTTTATGATATTAAAATCTTTGATACCATAGAATTTTCATAATCCTTGTTACCAATATCAATATCAAACTAATTCAAGTCTAAAAAGAGACAAAAAAAAAAAAGAAATAAGGATAAGAAACTAATTGCAAGCAATCGGACAAAAAACTACAATAAATAATAAACGCTAGATACTTTGTGTAAATTAATTAGTCTTCATGTGTTAATTATATTTATCTATCTATCTATCTATCTATCTGTAGATATATATAATTAACACATGTATTATGTATAGATTCTATATATAGGGGCGTTTCCGCCGAGGAGGCAAGGGAGGCAGTGTCTCCTCAAAAAATTGGATGAGAAAATAATCGATATTACAAACATAAATTGCAAATATTACTAAATATGGCATTAAAAGTATAAAAGTCACTCGTTTATATAAAGTAACACTGTCAAACCACAAATAACAAATATTGCTAACATTTTACAATAAGGTGTCATTTAATGTGTTAACTAACATGAACAAAATGAACATTTATTACAGTATTTATTAATCTTTGTTTACATTAGTTACAATAATACAAATACCGTTGTTGATTGTTAGTTCACAGTGCATAAACTAATGTTAACAAACACAACTTTGGATTTTAATAATGCATTAGTAAATGTTGAAATTAATATTAACTAAGATTAATAAATGCTGTAGACGTAGGCTATTATTTATTCTTGGTTACTGTTAACTAAAGTAGTTAACTAATGTTAACTAATGAAACCTTATTTTAAATGGTTTCCAAAATATTGTTCAAATTGTTACTGCCTTTAGTTATTATTTGGAATAAATATAAAAATGCATAAACACACTATGAAATGTATAATTAGTATAAAAATATTTTTTAAAAATAATAGAATTGTTTACAAAATAGAATTGTATTTGTTCTCTTTTTTATGTGACATTTATTTAACCAGGAAAATGTGACATATATATATACAGTTACAAAAGTGATTTAGTCAAGAGCAGTGAGAGATTTTCTAGCAATGTGCTATGATTAATATGAATGGCAGACAGGACGAATATTGGACAGCTTCCCCTTTAAGACCGAAGTCCGAATCCAATAGCATATACTGTTACGCGTTATCTTTTTCAGCTGTTTACTTTCTCTTAAGACCTGAATCACTGTGTTTATGAGGATACTTGCAAAGACGGGGATTATGACGCATATAAGTGTGTTTATGTAATCGTTCAAAGCCAATAAAGCGGCAAAAAATGTGCACTCCTCTCACACAGAAACAGAGATGGCGCACGCATATAGCTCTGTTGTTTGTGTTTCAACGGCTTAAAATCGGTTGTTTTAAAACGGCAGTGCTTAAAAACGTGTGTCCATGCTAAAGATGTAGTCCCTCGTTTAAGAACGAGCTCCTCGTTTTGTCCTGGCTTGTCGTTCTCCACCTGGCTGGTTCTGTCTCTTCTGTTTCATGACAGAACTTGGTATATATTAGTACCTAAAAGGTACAAAAGTGTACCTTTTGAATAGGTACTGCCCCAGTGACAGCTTTTGTACCTTCTAAGAGTGTTCTTATACATAATGGAAGGAGAGTGTTTCAGTTGTGTGAGAAAAAAACTCTCATGGCCATCACAGCAAAAGTTGGCTGTATTACAAAAGTTGGTGGGCGATAATATAGCCGATGTGATAGCCAGGTGTGTGGGAACTGCAGGTTACAACTGCCCATTTTGAGGTCAGTGTTATATCCAGCTCAGAGGAGCACATCTAGTTATTGTTCATGTTATTCCAGATGATTCAGGTTAATCTGGGTCAGGACTGATGTAAAAGATTAAGAAGGCAACAGATACCGGAAAGGATCAATATGAGGCTCCCTGCCAGATTTGTGAAACTGATGAGTAAATTAATCAATTCAGAGAGAGTTTAGATCTTTGGCTTCTGTCAGTCTCTTTGCTGAGTGCCAGACCACCAATGACAGGGTTTGGGCCACTGCAGCACTGCATACATGGGTTATACAACAAACCTCAAACCACACAGACTACAAAGTCTTCATACCTCCTACCACTTCAAACTAAAAACATCCCAAAGTTGGGCTACAAGAAGAGGCAAGAACTTTGGTGTTTCAAAAATCTTAGTTACAAGCTAAATAACAACTTTCTAATTTGCTCTCTGATATCACCGCCATTCACATGCTGAGTTACAAGCATTCAGCTTAAATCAGCGGTCATATAAAAACCAGACCTCAGACTCTGCTCTAGAAAAAAAATATGCACAGTGCATTAAACCTAAATGAGAAATAGACCAAATAGCCTATATGGATGACACTTGTATCAAACACATTCAATAGAGAGAAAGAGCATTAAAATCAATATCAAAGCAAAAATATTTATGCATACACAGTTGAACAGCCCCACTAATATAATTTATCTCTCTCTCCATATATATATTTATATATTATATAATATAATAAAGCCATCAAATTGGTGCCCAAATGTAGTGACCAAAACATGTTCTCACCAAACTTTAAATAGTATGAGTTCTATAATATGATCAATTTGTGATACAAAAATGTGCACTGCATTGATCTTTTGAAATAATTACCTCTCCATTAAAGGTTTCATCTCCAAAGGTGCACGCTCCACTCATCAAGAGCACCAGAAGAGAATAAATTACAGTCCGTCTCCAGAGCAACCTGAACGGGTCATCCCATAATACTGCCATCATTCTCATCATCGGGATCAGTGAGAGCAGCTAAAACTCAACAAAAGTGTAACCAAACAGGTTAAAATATAACTATCCGCAACTAAAAACACAAAAAGTCCAATGCACTCAGATTAAAAACAATATCATTCTGGGGTCTCGTTGTGTGTCCTTTCTGCAGAAGCGCACGGCTCTTCAGTGCTACAATCATTCAGTGCGATTTAAACGCCAGTCCCAGGCGCTGTACCAAGAGTCAAAGAGGTCCGATGCTCTGGCGGAAGTTTTTGAGCGTGTTAGGTATCATATCCAGCGGGTGTGCCCACTTAATGGTCGTTTCAGCCCACTCACGTGGTGCCTATAAATTAATTACAGCTACAACCTACTTCAAAGCAGAAGCTGTGCAAACTTACGTTGCAATTTCCTCTTGTAGTATGACTCGGGAAACGAAGCATGAATAACAGCTGGTGTTACTGTAGTGGGTGATTCAACTGAGATTTGGCTTTCTTGGGACAGAAACTCCCTCGCGAACGGTGCCGTCGGTCGTCGCGCAGCAACCACAATACAAGAGCGCTCAAATTATTAGCAGATGACTGACGCGCTCTGACACCTGTCTTGGATCACCGCCCTGCTTGTAAAGATTTAATATGATAGTTACTTCTCGGTCAAATCCACGTTTTCTCTCAGTTTTCTTGGGCGGGTTCCAAGTCGTATCCGCCGCGTGCTCGCTGGTGGCTTGTTGTGACGCCTCTCATGTGTGCAGCGAGTGACTCGGACTTTGTGCCGAATCCTGCGGCGTGTCCCGCTGCCTTGTAAAGCTGGAGGAGGGGCACAACAAGACGGACACCAGTAAAGTATCCAGTGCCACCTCCAGTCTGGACACAAAGACATGTAGGCCTATTCCTGCTTTGCAGTGCTTTTGAGCTCTGCAATGTAAAAAGTACCCATATGCGGTTAGTTGTCACTTTAGAAAGTCGGCTATTTCTATAAAACTATCGAACAGACATTCAGAAATATGCTCTGGTCAAGCTCAGACAGGTAAAAAATAATAATTATTGATTATTTATTTACACAATGCACGAAATGAACAGGAATAAATAAATGCCATTATATGTATCGAATTTACTCGCACTCATTGTGACAGACGATTGTTCTTTTGCTAATGTGACAACTTGAATGAGATTGTGTAGAAAACTGACAGTCACATAGTGTGACACAGCGTCTCCTACAGGACAGTTGTATTGCTAGATTGTGATGCATCCCGAAGCATTTGAATAATTCATTTAATAATACTTATACATAATACATAACGCAAGTAGTGGTGCGCTCCATCTTCACGCAAACCGAATTTGAATATTTACATAGTCCTTTAGCAGATGCTTTTATCCCAAGCGACTTACAAATGAAAACAATAGATGCAATCAAACCACCAAAAGATCATTAATATGTAAGTGCTGTGACAAGTCCCGAGGCCCGTTTCAGAGAGGAGGTTAAAGGCAGGGTATGTGATTTTTCAAAAACACTTTAGAAAACTGATTCGGGCCGAATAGCAAAACAAACTTGTAGCCAATCAGCAATAAGGGGCGTGTCTACTCGTGATGTGGAGGAGAGAGCTTTCAGTGCATGGGACGGACATTAGCCGAGCCGAGCGACAGAAAGATAGAGATGGCAGATAAAAAACAAAAGAGGAAGCCGTCTGTGGAACGATAAGGCAAGAAGTAGGACCCGTGTAAATATCGGATCAGCTTTCCAGCGCTGGAGAGAACTCAAGGAGCGGAGGCCTGCGATCGGACGCCGAGGTTGCTTTGTTTCTTCTCAATAGGTGAGTAACACCGTGTCTACAACAGCTAACGTCTGCCTACACTGGACGCGATCAAACGACCGTTGAAAACCATTTGAAATTCGTGTCAGCACGTCATAAATGGAACCCAGCAGCAGTTTTCTGTTGGGATTTGTTGCGCCGCGCCGCTCACGTCCGTAGACACGGTGTAATATTGGTTTTCCGTTACTGAATGGGAGGTAGGCTATGTCAAACCTTAGAAAGCAGAAGCCCCTTTCTGAAAGAGAGGTAACTTATACCAAAGACTATACCCTTAAAGTCTTTCTTTCAGTCTACTCCTCCTTTTTAAAGGGTAAGCGATGTTTAAATAGCCTCATTCATTCATTCATTCACGCAGCAAAAAATGCTTTTCTGAGTAGCTATTTTGGACTCTAAAAAAAATCTCTTAAATTAGCAAATACACTTAATAAATAAATGTTAAAAAAAAAATCTCCCTGGAAACAATAAATACCTTATGTCATTTTTCTTATGTAGGCTAGTAAATGCGTCTTGATTTAAGAATCTTTAGATATTTTGACTGGAAAAAAATACTAAGAAAGAAAAGCCTTTTTTGCAGTGCAGGTACATTCATTGCACATATTTTCATAATGCAGACACTTTGAAAGTGACAAAAACGGCATGTCCTTTTATACAGAATCCAGATGAGGAGGCTGCATTAATTCGTAGGGAGTTACATTTACTTTGAAAGATTATTATTTTATTTTTTTTGCCATATCCACATGCATATTTATTTGAGCGGTACCATTTTAAAATTTTAGTTTTCTATATAACATCAGGGATGCAGAGCGGTAAGGAAAGTGTGCCTTGCTCTCATGCTCTTTGTGATCATTTTTGTGTTGTTTCCTGAGCACAAACCCATCGAAAATGAAGCTGATTAATGTATAGAATGGAAGGGTAGTTCAAGCTGCTGCACATTGAAATAGACACTGAATGATATTTATTTAATATGTCAAGTGTTTGTAGCCATACACCCATGAACCTTTTTATGTTGAAATCTTTACCTGATTGAATTATGTTTTTATACTTCATTTTTAACTTTTTTTCTTTTACCTAAAATCAGTTCAATAACTTAGGCCTACAGTTCTGCCACTTTTTACCTTTGATTATTACAGTGATTAAGAATTAAAGTTAAGTACTGACTCAGAAGTATGCGGACGTCTTTTTGTCGGGTGTTGTTGCCATGGTGACTCATAATTTCGGAGCTCCATTGATCATGGCTTTTCATAGTCATGGTGAACGCACTAAACTCAGACCCTGCGTCCCAATGTTCATACTATCCATCCTAAATAGTATGTGAGATTAAAATAAGTGTATCCCAAAGCATAGTATGTTGAAAAGAGTATACCAGAAGTCCCCAGATGGTCTACTATTTCAGGTAGATTTTTGAAGTGTGGATCTGTGCACAGAGGAGCAGAGCAAGCACAACCAAAACAATTTTAACCCAGGCCCAAAAGTAAGGTCACTTTCATAATACCTTATATTGTGAGTGTTCATTCCCAATTTTTTGTTTATCTCATAAAAACATATATTGTTTCTCTTATGTACAACATGTACTAACAGTAATACACACAGTTAAATAATTGTCTTCTCAAAAATGAAAATTAGGAGAATACCAACTACTAAATACAGTTAAACATATCTAATAAATGAGAATACTTCCTTATGGTTTTTATTAGTATAGTCATTGCCTTAGTGGTCAAAATGACCATTACTACAGTACAGAGTGCTCTGTATATTGTTTTAAACCATTTTAATTTTTTACCCTTTGCACATTTGAATGAAATCAGCTTAATACAAACTGTAGAATTAATATTAACTTTGAAGAAGTACAAGAAACTAATTCTCTCCAAAGCTAAATAAAAAAAATTAACATCTGATTGGCATAAAATATTTCCTTTTAAATGTAGCATGAGTAGTATGTTTTTAACTGGTGAATCATATAAATATATTTGTGTAAAACTTAAATCTATCACAGTCTGCATTTTTGAGACTCCTGTACTTGTCATTACCAGGGCGTCTGTCTTGTGTTTGCTCCTACCTCTAAAAAGCTTAGTCTATTTGAACTGTCTTTGTGTTTTAAACAGGTGTATTAAAGGACTGACTGTGAATGTCAGAGATAAGAGCATAATTGACTGTGTGCTGAGAGCAGTAGAGTGTCTAGAGCTGTCAAATTAGAGTGCTTTCTAACACCCATCAATGCAAACAAATGAAGGCTCTTTTCAAATCCCTTTATTCAAACACACACGGAAGTAGAGCATTTAGGCCTGCCTAAAGAAGAAGATGGTCCATACACAAGCCCCCATTCATTCTACACACAGAGAGAAGAGAAAAAACCTGTTAATGGGAAGACACTGACAAAAACGTTTTGCCATAGTTGTTTATAATTTCTCTTATTTATACATGTAACTAAGCAGATATTACACTGAAATAATAAATTAGTTTAAAGGGATAGTTCACCCAAAAATGAAAATTTGATGTTTATCTGCTTACCCCCAGGGCATCCAAGATGTAGGTGACTTTGTTTCTTCAGTAGAACACAATCGGATATTTTTAACTCAAACCGTTGCAGTTTGTCAGTCCTATAATGTCAGTGGATGGGAATCACGGCTTTGAGAGT